GGTGTGGAGGAAGACCTTTCTTTGCTTCCTTCAGACTTACAGTCAGTGGAAGAATTCTTCTGGAGATGAGCTATTTCTAACTTTTTACCTTCAGTGAATAATTTAATAAGGTTTTTAGAATGTGACTGGCCCTGTTCTTTAAAATGAGGTATAACTGCTACTACTGAAGTGCATCCCAGAGTGAGATGACAGCAACTATGCATAGAAGTGCCAACTCAGATAAGCAGGTTATCTTGGAACATACCCAAACCATTGGCACATTCACTATGGCTCACTTCAAAGATGACTTTATTTTCTAAGGCAGGGTGGGTTTTTTGGGGTTTGGTGTGCAGCATGTAACCATAAGTAGGTAATCAGAAAAGGCAGAGTTCTTTCACCAACAGATCACACTGTTCTTGGAGTGGGGGCACAGTGAGGGCAACCAGCTATGGCAGCACATATATATGTGTATATATATATATACACATACGTGTGTGTATATATATGTGTGTGTGTACACATACACACATATATATATATAAAAAAATATATAGATATCTGTCTTCCTGATGGCAGCCCTCCAGAGAGCTGTAGGCTTCCAGGGACTGCTACCTTCAGAGTTGCTGTGATGATCTAAACACCAGTGCAGAAGGTCACACTGTGACCTCACTAAATTGCATTAGATGGGAATGTCAATATACACAATTAACTAACTATTGACCTTTAGTCCTGAGCTATTTTAGGCAACCAGTCAGGCTGTACAGGGTAACTCTCTAGCACATAAGCTCCAAGGCTTGTCATTGGAGGTGGTATTTCTCCATGCAAAGGGCATGAAAGTCCACAGAGATTCATCAAGTGATTCTGGAGTTAGAAGGCTAAGTTACACTAAAATCAGGCTGTCAAGGCTTAGGCTACCCATCCCATAATGAGCATGGCAGAAACCTCCTATGACAGGAAGTGCTTAAAACCTACTACTGCTGTTGCCATTGTAAATAGCCAGTTCAACCAAAGGTGCTGCTATTTGGAGGCTGCTGCTGGTGCATTAAGGTTGGTGGGTGTGCCAGAAGCTACAGAGTGGTGAAAGCTTTCTTTCGTTGCTTATTTTCCCAGCCTCTCCAGAGCTGAGCCATGCGTGGAAACAACATCAAAGCTCCAAGCTAGCTGGATTCGCCTCTCTGTTGCATTCACCTATCACATTGCTGCTTCTTTGCCCTGTTCTGGCCCAAGGCTGCAAAATGTTTCTTCTTCTCTGAGGCATATATCTGCCTGACAGCTGCTGTATCTGAGTCAGTAAACCCAGACAAGCTGTGTGGACTGTACAGTGTCAGCTGCATGCACCTCCTGCTTCTAGAACTGGCAGAACTTACTTCTTGGGCTCTTGGCAGCAGCTTGCATTTTATTATGCTCTTCTCTTTTTAGTCAGTTGTGCCTCACCGTTAGAGTTCCTCTGATGTTCCTCTGGCAGCTGAAGCTAGGGAAGTGACTAGCATTAAACAAACTCAGTAAAATAATTAGTTAGTTTTACTTCACCTTGCTATCCTAATCTGATTTTCAATGCAGCTCTGAATAGTTTAACAAGCAAAAAGCATGGGAGGAAGGGAGGAGAGGCTGAGAGGCTAGAGGCTTACTGAACCATGGCTTTTGGTGGTAGCCACAGCTCATATTAGCTCAAACCAGGGGTGGTGCATAACTTCCTCCAGTGTTTTGTTGCTCCACTTTGTGGTGCCTTTCCAAGTGCATTAGCTTCTTATGATGGTTTGACTCTGGCTAAATGCCAGGTATCCACCAAGTCGCTCTATCACTTCCCCCCCCCCCCCCCCCCCCCCCCAACAGGGCAAAGAGGGGAAAGAAGATAAACTAACCCTTGTGGGTGAAGCAAAAGCAGTTTTAATATAAGCAAAGCAAAGCAAAGGTCTGCGCGCAGAAGCAAAAGCAAACAGATTTAGTCTCTACTTCCCATGGACAGGCGATGTTGGGCCTTCTCAGGAGCAGGGCTCCAATACACGTAGTGGTTGCTTCGGAGGACCAAGGGTGACCCCACCCCCTTCTTCCTTTCTCCCAGCTTTATACTGAGCAGACATCATGTGGTATGGAATATCCCTTTGGTCGGTTTGGGTCAGCTGTCCTGGTTGTGTCTTCTCCCAAGATCTTGCCCACCCCGTCCCACTGGGGGAAATGTCAGAAAGAGCCTTGGTGCTGTGTAAGCACTGCTCAGCAGCAGCCACAACACCAGGGTGCTATCAACACCCTGCCAGCTCCCGACATAAAACACAGCACCATGAGGGCTGCTATAGGGGAAAACCAATTCCAGTTCAGCCAGACCCAGTACACTTCTGTTCATATTTTGGTTGCATTTGCATTATGTATGAGGATGGAGAAAAGGACCTTCTGTTTTGAAACAGGAAGATAGGAAGGAAAGGAAATGTGTCTTAGATGTGGGGGTTTTGCAGGCTGTCCTAAACAGTGCTGGCATCTAGAAAGAGAATAGTAAACTTGAAATGCAAATGAAATCCCAGAATTTCTTGTTTGTCCCAGCCTTTTGATTTCTCACTGTCTTGGTGCCAGGCAATTGTATCAAGAAACCAGTAACATGGTTTCAGAAGGTAAATTCTGGATCGTTATATGTAGTCATCTGCTATTAGACTGTCACATCATATATACCACCATCTGGTTTTAGAAAGCTTCATCGTTAAAGTGAAGGAGTAGAGAGATTGTATTCATTCTAATCATGTTACCTTCTGTGATTTGCTAATAACATAAAACCTGAGACAGATTAATTGATCTGTGACCAGTTCCAACAATATATGGCTCTATTTCCATGACAGAATACAACATGCTGTTTTACTGGTTCAATATTTTGATTTTAGAAGATTGCTAAATATGTCTTTTTAAATAATTCATTATTTAAGTCTTATTAATTTTCATTTGCATAATTATAGCAGCAGATCATAGTGTGTCAGGTCTTTCACTAATTTGTCAGTCTTTCTTTAGGAAAAAAAAGTAATTACTGTATGAACTCTTTAAAAGATAAGATGTGATGTCAGAGATGTACCTGCTTTTAGGAGAGGTTAAGCATCAAATAGAAAGCAAATTTCCAAGTAATACCTGAATTTACCTCACTGTATGATCAGCATCCTATATCATTAGCATGTGCAAGTGGTGTAAAATGCAAAGAACCATAGTTTACAGGATAAAGCAAATAACTGATCTTAAAGTCTTTAATTTGTTTTGTTACAGTCATAACATAGTTCAATTTGCTTTCTGTCCCAAGGTTATTCTCTTGGATTTTATTCTGTACATGTACCTAGCTGGGTAGGAGGGGAAATAAGTTATGGTATCTTGCTACAGATCAAGAGATGTGTGTTTGAGTCTTGCCCTCAACTCTTGCAGACCTAGCTGAAATGGATACCTGTTTTTTCAGGCTCAATGCACCGGAAACATCCCTACATGAGGCAAGATACATTGCGCTCTGTAACGCTCTTGGCTAGAGAAACAAAACTTTCAACAGATGAGTCCTGTAACACAGAAGATGATGGTTGTATCTGTATTTATGAAGTGGCATGTGTATCCTAGTATACCCATCTTCTCTCACAAAGAAAGAATAGTATATTGTGTGTCAAGGAACCCTGCTTTTGCTATGAGAGTGTAAAAGCTTGCAGCAGCTGTGTTTAAATGTACCATAGGGGCTTTTAATAAATTAAGTATAGGATTGAAGAGTTCTGAGATAGTGTGTGTGTCTGTGTGTGTGTTGCACCATGACCAGAGATCATCAAAGCATCAGCTAGCTCTGGTTTCTCAACCTGAAGTACGGGGCTGGGCGCAACGTGCTTCTGTGGCAACACACCTTTCATGACCTGAGGTCTCTCCTAGTCTGGCGTTTCACACTTGACTAGCCCAGGGCTGCGCTAGCTGTGCTGGTTTTTGTGCAGCCTAGTGTGGTGACACTTCTGTTGCTGTCCTGGTTGCATTGTTCCTTCCTGGGTTTCAGCCTTTGCTTTGCAGATCAAAAGAGCTGTAAACCTTTTGTTTGAGTTTTGAAATGCAAGCAGTGTTCCACAGCAGTGGATGAGCTGCACAGCCTATCCAGCAGCTGTGGAACATGGGAGAACCAGGTTTAAAGATTCTCGATTACAAGGTTATCAACACAGGCTTCTTATTCACCAAAGCCTCTAGGGAGAGTCAAGAAGTTTCTGTTAGTGACCCACAGAAGATAGCAGCAGCAAAGGCCTGTAATAATAGCCTATCGAGCCCCAACTCTTGAGACAGTGACTGTTCTTACCATATTGCTTCTAGAGGCTTCTCTGTTAAGTACCAAACAAGCCAAGAGCTTAGCTTTATTTTTTTCAGTTAGTTCAGTTATTTCTCTACTCAGCTCTTATTGGGTCTTATGAATGTAACTGGTGCCACACCTATTCTCCAAGTAGGTGGAAGACCCAGTCAGAGTAAAGCAGGATGAAAGACCTCACAAAGAGTACTTTCAGGGAATGGTCTGGTTTGGCAGATGGTGCTCACATGCATATGCTAGTACAGAAAATAAGTCCCCAAACAGTGTTTGAGTTACCGAATTACTGATGGTTCTGTTTTGTGAAAAAAAATCTCAAGACCCTAATCTCTTGTCATCATTATAAGTGGAAGGATTAGCTATTATGTGGTAGCTAAATTCCAACTGGTCTATACACACACCTCCATCTAATTATTCTAATTACCATAGCATTGCTCATTTCCCGAGCTATTGTTCTGTGCAGTGTTTGACAGCTGGCAGGTTCTGCTCCAGAGATGGCTGCATTTGACCTTGGGGAAAAATGTTTCTGTTCTGATTACTACTTTCCCAAGGATGAGGCTGTGTGACCACCCTTTCTAACATTTGACAATAAAGCCACTTTCTTGCAACTAGCCCTTGAATGTCTGATGTAGAGTGGTATCTGACTCCGTATACTGTGTTTAACCCTGAAGTTGATTACTGTGCATAACCAAACTCTTCCAACTTGTGACTTGCTTTGTTTGTTTTAATTTCACTGCAGGCTGGAAGTCCAACCTCTATCTCTGCCCCTCATAGCTTCTCTCGGACTTCTGTTACACCATCCAACCAGGACATCTGCAGGTAAAGTGTGTTGTTTGCATGGCTACAGTGAGACTCATTCAAATTAAAGGAAAACAAAAACTGTAAAACCATGTGTATGGGGAAGTAAGTGATGTGGGGTTCCCATATGAAGCATCCCATTTGTTTGACTCGACTGCTGTCTAACACTGCTTCGTTGAACACCACTGACTGGCCCCGCTATGTTTGCCATTCCCACACTAGCAGTAATCCTCGTTTCTTCACTTTTAATTATATGTGTTCTCTTTTGTAATTGTTTTTTACTTTCTGTGCTTTTATTCCACTGTTCTGCATGCAGTTCCAGTGCAGTGTTTTCTGAGTGTTGTCATCACAGTCCAGTACAGTCTGCTGTTGTCTTGAAAAATCCTCACTGCCAGAGCCCTCTGACACAAGGGGTCACTGTGACAGTAATCTGTCAGGACACGTTACATGCAGCAAAGAGAAACTCCCGTGGGCAGGATCGGGGCCAGGCACTCAGGTCTACTGAGAATATAAAGCCCACCCACACTCTGAAATTCTCCAAGTCCCTCAATGATGTGGACCAGAAGGCACAGAGCACCAGTGAGTGCTTTGACTATGTGGAGCGAACATGCTCAGAAGGCAGACTGACCCCAACTCAAGAGCAGTGTTTAAGGATTAACAAATTTCATCTTAAAGAGAGAAAACTACTGAATCTCAAGCCTCTTTCTTTTAGCAATTCTAAGCACTCCTATATCCCTTCCCTTTCCAACTACTCAAGTGCATCAGGAGGAGCAGAAAACCACAGCGCTGTACATATCCCCTTGCTGGAGGACAAAGTGGACCATGACACCTCAAGAAGCAAAAAGCTGTTGCGTTACCTTTTTTCCTTCTCCCACACCTCCAGCATCAGCAGCCTGCATAAGTTCCATGAACTGGAGAGCTATTCTAGTCACTTCCAAGCTGAGAAGTCCTCCAGCGTGCTGGTGGAAAGCACAGACTTCTGTTCTGATGATATGGGAGACGATGACGTCTTTGAGGACAGCACCTCAGTGAAAATGAAAATAAAAGAGCAGCGAGCACCACTCTGTTCAGTTGAGAAGGACAGTGACCTTGACTGCCCTTCCCCCCTCTCAGAAAAATTCCCCCCTCTCTCCCCTGTGTCTACATCGGGGGATACCTGCAGGTTGGTTTACCAGAGAACCACCTACCTTTGAGCCCTCCCATGTGCAGTGGTGAATGTTCTCCTTTCCCCTGCCTTTGTGCTGTTTCTGTCTTTTCTTTCACCCTGTCACCTTGCTTTAATATGTGCCATTTGAAGCATGCAGCCTTCTATCTGCTGTTCTGCACCCCTCTGATGCACTTAACAAGGCTACTAAGATAAAGAATTTCCTTTGGAGTCAAATTCTTTTGCCGTTTGTTTCACGTTTGGGTTTCTGAGATGGTATTTTTCTCTTATCAGTCAGATACTCCCAGCCCAAGGTGGGAATACCATGAGAAAATCAGCTATGCATATTAAAAGCCAAGCTGAAGTCTTAGCTTTTAATGAGAAAGTGTTGTCCTGACAGTCACTGCTGGTTTAGTCAGGGGGTGGGGAGTCAGGAGGAAAACAGGCTCTTTGAAAATTGCTTCTGTGATCAAGACAATATAGCTTAGGATTTTTTTTTTTTCTTCATCTTTTTCTCACAGTTTGTATCCCACCACAGTCTTTCTGGATGGGCTTTCTGGATGCCTTAGTCAAAAAGGGGATCTGAGTGCTGGGTGTTAGTGGTGGACCACTGTGAGGTTCATAGTGTGAGGTCCAAAAAGGATGGGTATCCTTGTTCCAACTACAAAGAATTAATCGTGTACAGGTGGTGAGAACATCCAGTTCTGGACTGTCTTCATGGTGAACTTCTTTGCAGGTCTGCCCCATCCCAGCTCCAAAATGTGGCTGAGGAGCAGGAGTCATCAAGTATAAAAGCAAACGTCCCATCCCTCTACCTAGCACTTTACTATCGTAATTTTTCTCCTCTCTGACAGCACTTTCTGAAGCTAGCTTTGTTAGTACTTGCCAAATATTATTTGATTCTCCCACTTATTACCAGCAAAATCTAGTTCCATACTGGCTTGTCATCAACAAGACGCTGTTGTAATCCACCCACTCCTCCATTTCCACTTGCCAGCTATCAGCAAGGTTGCAAGAGGCAAGATGCTACACATCAGTAAGAAATTTCAGTAATAGACAGGGATGGCAGCATGCCAGGTTGTACTTCACATATGCTTAATAATTTAAATTCATTCCCTGGGCTCCTCACCACACCCCTTTCAATTCATGACCTCTTCCACATGGTTAGGAGGACTTAGTGATGTTTGATGCAACCCAAGGGCTGTGTATAAATTGAAGCTGGAAATCAAATGCCAGCACCTGGTAGTAACACTATATGGGGTGTCCTTGCTGTCTCTATAGTTAGGCTGTGAGGGAAATGGGAAATATTGCAGAGCTGATGCTTCCTTAAGTGGCTCTTGCAAAGTAAAAATTGGAGAGCAAAACCATTAGTCCATTTAGAGTAGGGGTATTTCGGGGAGATTGTGCTGTAGCTTTACAGTGTGGATCTGTCTCTTAGCAATTGGCACTAGAAATAATCACTTTTCTTGTGCAAAATCCAGGCTAAATTAACTCTTCATGATACTGGGGTGGGCTGTTTTACCACTGGTTTGGGAATTTTGTTTTATCTTCTGTTTCAGATCGTAAGCCATGAGTAACTGCACTTCTCTGAGCATATTTTGTCTTGGAAAGTGCTGTCTGATCTGTTTAAATGCTATTTTCAGTTAAGTGCTATTGTTCTAGATGAAGCGTTGTCATTTCTTACCCTGTTTTTTCTTCTGGATCTGCATTTGTGCCAGGCTCTGTGTGTGCGTCTCATCTGTTAGAAAGCAGCTGTCTGCTTAGCAGTGTCTGTGCTCAATTATTTCATGCCTCTGTGTGTGCTTGCGCAGCAATGGAGTTCTTTAGTTTTAGCTCCTTTATGGAACACATTCCTTTGATATGTATGTCTCAGGATCCTCAATGGACAACCGTGTGTGATCACAGATATTACATGCCTCTTCCACATCCTTTCTGCTTCCTCTTCTCCTAATGAATAGCTTTGCTTCTGATTCAGGATATGTCACTGTGAAGGAGATGATGAGAGCCCTTTGATTACCCCCTGTCACTGCACGGGAAGTCTTCATTTTGTGCACCAAGCCTGCCTGCAGCAATGGATCAAGAGCTCAGATACGCGATGTTGTGAGCTGTGCAAGTATGAGTTCATCATGGAGACAAAACTTAAGCCTTTGCGAAAGGTAAGCACAAGACCTGCTTCCCCGAGAAGATGATTTGTTAAGCAAAAATCCACTTGAAAAGAGGCTGTCCTTGCCCACGAGTCTGCAGCTACCCACCCCCATATTTATCATGTTTCTGTGGTTCCATAGTAAGTCTGGTCAGTTTTGTATAGTTGCAAAAGGATTTAAATTCACAATCAGCCTGGCAAGTTCAACATCAGCAGAATCCAGCCCTGAGAGTTAGCTATTGTAGCCTGGCAGCTCTCTGTGTGTAAATGTATGTACATACAAATAAAAACATGTATATGTGCATGCAGCAACCTGCTTTTTTTCTTTTCAGTTACATTTTAGACTTGATGCACAAAAGTATTTGTATTTGCTGTGCAGTTATACACTTTAAAAAAAAAAACAACCAAACAACAGAGTTTTGTATTAACTGTTACCTGCTTTAGCTTGCTGCTCTGACATCCACAACTTTTAAGTTCTTTTGAAAATATGAGGATTTCAGCTTAAACTTACTTAAAATCATGCTTTCTGAGTGTAATTTGGTTAAGATTTGTAGCACTTTTCTTTTTAAAGGAGCAAACCTGTTTTAAATTAAAATACTACAGTGTAAGTAGAAGGTTCACCAATAAATGTCCGTTTTTAGCTTTTCTTAAACTGTGAGTGACTAGGTTTTAGTAATTCAGGTTGCTAGAATCTGTATTTTTGTTTTATAGAAAAGTACCTTTCATAAATCTGGTGACTTAAAGTATAGGTACTTAAATTCTACTTGTATTGTAAGGCCAGTTTTGCACTTGTATCTTTTTTTTTCTCCCACATCCTCCAGGCTTTCAATTTTGGTTGGTCCTTACCATCAGGATTTTGAGATGGAAGTTACTAGTGTTCTTGGCACCGACAAACCTTGCCACATCTACCAAAGTGTAATAACCATCTACCAAAGTTAATAACGATAACCTCAGTCTGGAACTAGAATAAATGAGAAACATTAAATTCAATTATGATGAACCTAAATAATGTAGGGTGGGAAGTCTGGACTGCAGCCATCTGAAAGCTGTTATGAGAACTTGCCCAATTCCTAAAAGTGACTCCTAGCAGAAAACAGAACACTGATTTCAGACACCTCTTCTTTTTTTTTTTTTTTTTTTTTTCCAGTCTGAAAAGTATACAGCTTAGCATGTCAGGTTGATAGGACAAACTCTGCTTATGACTGGTGAATTGTTGTCTTCTAAGAACTGCAGATTTTTCCTTAGTAGCCCCTTGGCACAGAGTGTAGTACCTCTGAGCTGCAATATTGACTGTCATAGGCTCTCTTATCTGCACAGACATCACTTTGTGCAGCCCAGGCGTAGGACATTAAAGAAATTACTCTAGAGAATCCCAGGTAAAAAGAGCTGCTATAGTTGGCAATTGACTGCTGTTTTTTCTGTGATTTCTCTGCCTGGAGTGGGTGGGAAACGTTTTCTGAGTATTCGTACTCTGTTAGAAAAAGCTGTTGGGCACCTCCAGAAATTAGTCACTCACCATCATTAGTTATATCTGAACAGGTCATCTGTGGGAAAGAGACCAGATGCCAGAAGTTATGGACAGAGCCATAAACAGAAGGATAAGAAGGAATTTACCTCTCAAATATATCTAAAGAGTCTTTTTAGAGGTTCAGCTGCAGCCAGAAGATAAGCTGCCTCTGTATCTTCAACACAGCCTTTATGGTATCCTGTCAGTCAGGAGACAACAGTCTGAAACTGGTGATTATGAACAGGATGGGACAAATAATAGGGCTCGTGCTTGTCTGTAGGGTAGAAATTGAATTGAACTTCCTCAACATCATAAGGTTGTATTGCAGCATTGGGCTGTTCAAACAAGTTACTAAGGAAGGAAGATGAGAAACAAAATGTGTCATGGTTCAAGTGCAGATGAAGGAAGACAAGAGAGGGATGCTCCATTTTAAAATTTCAATGGAAAAAAATGACAACATTAAATCTAAATTTTCTGCTGATTTTTTTCTTTTAACAACACTTCAAAAACCAAGAACTGTTGACAATTTTAATTAAGAAATGCCACATGCTGTGTCATGGCAATAATGCAACAGGGACCTACAGATTCTACTTTCTTCTCTGGGCTGCTGCATAGTTGCTGCATCAAAAGTAAACACCTTTGTTTAGATGCACAAGCAAATTTCTGTTTAAAAGATAACATCCAAAGGGAATGTTCTGTCTAATCTTTTTCTAAGATTGAAAGAATATAGCTTTCTAGCATGTTGTTGCTGGAAGTCTTCAATTCTTGTGCTGTGATGAGATTTGGATGCCGACAGAACTGGAGTTGTGGTTTTGACTGTCCAAAGAGATTATTGGCAAGACAGAGGATCACTCAGTCTCTCTTTCTTGTTACTAGCAGTAGAAACAATGATTGGTGATCTCAGTCATATCAGTCAGGTCATTCTCACTCTCTTCCACAGTATTGCTCCTTTTCAGTCCTTTTCTTCTACAGTTTATTCTAGGAAACATCAAATGCACCTCCCTAGAAACTCACAGGTATGTGTGAGAAGCTTATGTGCCCCAGCATATAGTTTGTGAAAGTGTGAAAAAAACCCATCTTAACTCTCTGTTCCAAGCAGGTTTGCTGAGAGATGTGTACCCCACATGCAAAAACTTATATCATATACATATGGGAAATTGCAAAAAAAGAATTAAAAGAAAAAAGCTTCCAGGTGTCTCAGGTGAAAAAAATAACAGCTGTTTTTGAAAAATGTATTAGAATTATTATGCATATTAGAAGCATCTATAATAATTGTCTAGTTTCTTTGTATCTTCTCTAAATTACAGCAACCTGACTTTGTGGCTTCTATTTGGGCTTTATAAACATTATTGATAGAATGCAAGTCTGGGGATTTAATTTGCTGCATCCTCTCACTTACAAAAGCTGTCTAAACAGCCTTGACTGTGCACTGAGGGAATCTAGCAGAGCTCAGCATGAGATGTCTTACACGCACTGGCCAATTGGATCATGTACCACTTTTATTGCAGTGTTTTACTGAATGCCTGCCTGCGTGAGGGTACCCTTTGCCACTCATGACGCTCAGCTGTGACTGTGGGTACCCACTGTTGAGTGGGGAACACATGAAAGAGCAGCCTTGCTTGCACTGCACAAGGCCTCATGTTAGGATCCTTCTGTGCTGGAGTTGCCTTGGCGTGGGTAAGCAGGATGAGGTGACATTGTGCTGAGGCTCCGGGTGGGGTGCTGAGCACTGGAGGTCTGCTCCGGCTTCAGGATGGCTCCCCTCACAGCACGACGAGCTGCCAGCTGTTGCATGGATGCTGTGGTCAGAGGAACAATCTGATTTTCAAAATCTGAATTGGGAAACTGGTCTCCTGCCTGGTTTTTGTTCTTATCGATGAACTCTTTTTATACTGTCTAGTAATGAGAATAAACACCTAATCTCTTGCTCTTCTTGCGGGTTTCTTGCCAGTGGGAGAAGCTGCAGATGACAGCCAGTGAGAGGAGGAAGATCATGTGCTCTGTAACATTCCATGTCATTGCCATCACCTGCGTTGTGTGGTCTCTCTATGTCCTGATAGACAGGACCGCTGAAGAGATTAAACAGGGACAGACTACTGGTATGTTACTTGCTTATCTTCCCACTTATTCTCTTGGAGTAATTATTTATCCTGAATGCAGAGATGATGCAACGCATGAGTATGCAGGTAATGATTATACTTAAACTAGTCAGCTTTAGCCTGAGGTTGGGTTGGTTTAAAAGCACAGTTCTAAAATGATTTTGTTACATCAGTGTAAATTCATTTGTGGATGTTTTTTATGTCTATTTCAAGTTAATTTAGTTTGCACTTGTGAAGTGCACAGGTATGAGACCTAGTGCACTGGAGTCAGACTCAAGATTGCACTGTATTAACTAATTTTGTTTTGAATTGGAACACTTACTGAGCAGATAAGGTTGTAAGCATTTGTTTGCTGCTATGGCTACCTTTTAAGTGAGCAAGACCAGGACAGTTTTTAAAAAAAGTAGTAGCAAGAGGAACCTAAATCCAAATCTTTGAGGTAAGTCTGTGAGGTGAGTTAGCCCAAGTTTCCTGTGAGAGCCATGTTAGACTGGAGAAATTTTTCTGAGTAGTTGTGACTGAAACAGAAGAAATTGAGGTTGATTCTTAGGACTCAATTCATGCAACTGTGATGAGGTGCACTGCAATTTGTGTAGCGGCTGCCACCCCACTGCAGGGATGTCTTAACTTCTTGAATAGTATGTTTTCTTTAGTATGCCAGCTGTAAACTAATGTGCAAGGTTTAATCCTTGCCGGGATGAGAGAGCACGTGGCCGTTGCCCCTCCCCCACCCACGCCAGTCGGGCTGGAAGTTAAACACAGACCCCGGCTAAAATAACAAGAAATTTAATACAACAGAGTGATAGAACAATCTGAATAACAACAGTATCAATGGTAACAACAATAAACAGCAATAACAGTGAACAAGACAAACGATATACAGAGAAATACCGCTAGCTGGTCTACGGAAAGCAAAATTCCCTCCCGAACCCGCCAAAGAGCAAGGAAAAGGTCCCGCTCCCGGACCTGACGTCAGCATGGTATGAATAACCCGGCTGGAGATCCCTTCCCCCTCTCTCTCTGCTGGGGAAAACTTTATCCTGGCTGAACCAGGACAACTTACCAAACCGGAACCTGTTTATCTGGGTATGCTGGGCTGCAAATTTGCAGCTGTCACAGAACTGTTTCTGAGGCAGCTGAGCTGTCCCTGAAGGTAGGGATAGAAGGGATGGGGTATCTATAAAGGCTGAGAGCAAGCTGTCCTTGTTCACAGAGCATTGCATGGCAACCAGACATGCAGGTGGAAAATGTTTTGCTGGTGATTGAAGAGCATCATCTGGGGACATAGCTGAACATCAACAAACCTGCACATCCACAGAGCTGTTACAGTCTCTTCAGAGCAGAATCACACTTCAAACTGAATAGTTTTGCTGTCATTTCTCATTTGGGGTGTAGTTTGATTGTTCATAGCTTCAGTCAGCAAGCTGCTTTGAATGAAATTTTAGTTTCTGTTCCATCCAACCCCATCTCTTCCATGTATCATGAAAATTGTTGAACTTTCAGTGTAAGGTATCCATATGATAATGAAAAGCATATGCTTTCAAAGATTTATCATTTCTAGGTTTAGTCAATAAATATATTAGATGAACATGAATAGAAGGAATAGTGTGAATATTTAGTACTACCTTTACCCCTTTCATTTGGATTCTAAATCTGGAGAGCATTGTAATGTGCTCTGGAGTGTGGAGAGCATGTGTAGGGATACATTTGTTTTGCCAATTATTAGGCCTAGCATAAAGGACACAGCCAGTATAAAGATGAACTAATACCAAATTGTATTTGATACAAAAGGGTCAGTACATGGGTGAGCACTGGGGGTACAAACAAGTCAGTCAGGTTATACATAGTCGACATTAATCCCACTGATCCCAACAACAACACCGCACAACCAACAATGGGTGGAATAAATGGTGAAATAGACGGGATGGGAGACAACCAAGTCAACAAGCCAAATACGTAAGACCAAGGAAGCCACATACTGAATCTCTAAACAGCTCATGTTTACAAAGGCCACACCTGACTAGAGCCCAGTCCCAGGGAGGCAGGAAGTCCTTCCCCAACAGGAAACTGCACAGTGCATCCACCTCACAGGCAGACACTACCCCTGCCTGCAAGGGGTCCCAGCTTTTATCCCCAAGTGGGACACCTGACCTTTGCTTACCTAATGGGACACCTGGGGCTCATTTACCTAATGGCTCTCCCTGCCAGGCCGGCCGCACCCTGGAGGGAAGCTTAAAGGGAAACTCATCACCCCTTTGTGAAGGGCTGTGGGAATCACCCATATGTCAACATTAATTTGGGGCTTGGGGTTGAAACCCCAGCATTTCACCATTTATGTCAGCAACAGAGGCAAGTATATACTATCACTGCCTACAGATGGCATCAGATAGCTTACCTGTGAATCAGAGGTCCCAGTATTAATCACAGATGGGATTTCATCAGTAATCACACTGCAGTGCCCTTTATATTTTGGGACTGAAATATTTTCATTCCTCCCACGCTACTGTGCATTTTCAAAAGAACACTGGCCTGTATCTTGGTAAAAACTTTGAAGGGTTGGAAGGCCATAATTTTCTTCTCTGAGAAACCTGATAGTGGGTGATTCAGCATGGTTTCATATCCATCTTATGATGCTGCTTATCTTTAAAGAGGAGAGAGGCTGGGTGGATACAAGATCTATATAAGCAGATGATGCATAAAATGTGTAGTGTCTCATTTAAAAGTAGTTGATAGAAGTATAACAAGATCCAATATCTCAAAAGTTCAAGCTAGACAAATTCAGGAAAGGTAATGATGGAGGGTAAGCTTTCAAGAATGCTTGAGCATCTTCAACACTTGCAGTTTTGCATTGGAAGGGACTCTCTAGTTCAGCTACAAGTTACTGGGTCTGATGCAGGTAAAATTGTCTGGTCTGCCTAACAAACATGCCAAGCTAGATAGTAACAATCATTCCCTTTTGAGTTTAAAGGCTATGACTCCATGTACTGTGTCATCACAGAGTGAAACACTCAACACTGAGTTGAGTCTCCTGCTGTGAAGAGGAAAACATGCCATAGAATCCCTTTCGTAATCTGATCCAAGTTTTGTTTAAAAACAGGCATAAAGGACCTAAATGTATTACTGGCTGTTATCCTTGACTCTGTGATTCTGCTGCACAAGGGCTCAGACACAGAGCATCAGTTATTTTCTTCTTCATTTGGTGGGTGAGAATAAATGTGATTTGTGAAGTAAAAGTCTGCATGTGTTTGACTTGAAGGGGAAAATAAAAATAGGCCTAACAAGAAAAATAGCAAAATAAGAATTAGTTTGCCTGACAAAAACTCTCTGTGACAGTTTCCTTACAGAATGTTTTTGAGAGATCTAGCCAATATTGACCAGGTCCTTTTTCTTTCTTCTTTTTTTATTTTCTTTCTTCCAGGGATTCTAGAATGGCCATTTTGGACTAAACTGGTGGTTGTGGCTATTGGTTTCACTGGAGGACTTCTGTTCATGTATGTACAATGCAAAGTGTACATACAGCTGTGGAAGAGACTCAAAGCTTATAACCGAGTAATATATGTACAAAACTGTCCAGAAACTAGCAAAAAGAATATTTTTGAAAAACCTGCACTAATGGAGCCAAACTTTGAAAGTAAAGAAATGCTTGGGGTTCACCATTCAGACACAAACTCTTCACATTACACAGAGCCAGAAGACTGTGCTGCAGAAATCCTTCACGTCTGATTGCTGGGTGGGAGGGGTGTTTCTGTATGTCCTTGAAGATTTAAAATATCATTGTTTACTGCAAACTGCTCTACCTTTTTAAAATCAGCTAACCGCTGAGGGCTGGTGGATGAATTTTTTTACATTTGTTTTTTGTTGGAATTTTTTAAAATCGCTTTGGCATATCTGTCAATGCCATCATGGTTGCATACCTCTCAATGTTTTGTCTCTCATACTGGCTGATCAAAGAGCCACAGGATACTGGATAGAATGAACCTTGGGTTTGGTATCAAGCTGATAGTGAATTGTCATCAACTTCATGGAGTCTGTTACTTTAGAAAGTGATTCTAAATGATTCTGAAATACATTTAGAGTGGGGTTGGATAGTTTGTTTGTTCTTTAAGGGTGATGAAGGAGGTTGTCCCAGACATTGAGGGAAATGAGAGATCTAGAGTCTAATCTACCACTAACACTGCCACTAACATTTTGTCTTAGGCAACAGGTGTAAAATTTTGCTTTACATATTGTGATGAGACTTATAAAGCATATAGCACTTTTAAAAATCTTTATTTTGTAATATGTATGTCAAATGAGATTGAAACTTGAAAGAATGTGTCATTTTCAAAACAGTTCTTCATTCTTTACTCCATCTATTCTTCTGGAACATAAACCTCTTGCCTTATAAAAAAAAAAAAAAATTTAAAAAAATCTGACCTGTGGTTTCCAACACATGCCCGCATTATCTTACTAAACATAACACTAAAAAACTCTGCCTCTTTGGGTTTCCTTTGAGGAGCAATTTTTTTCAAAGGATATTGCACTTGTGACGTGTATTGGGAGTAGTGGATGTGTACAGTGTTCGTTTTCAGTACGTAATGGTTTCAGTGTTTTGTTTTGGGCATTTTTGGTTTTCTTTTTCAACAGGTTGGACCATCAACACACCTGAACATACATACCTGATGTAACTTTCTTTCCAAACCATTGGCAAAGAATTTGTTGCTATGTTGGTAAAAAAGTGAGCTGTTACAGAAAAAAAGATACTTAGTCAATACAGCTGAAATTGGTTTCCCTTCTTTAGTGCTGTGTCATGTGTAAATTACCCAAGAATTTGATGATGTCAGAGGAGATGCTGAGGCCAAAGTCTAGGTAGTAAATGTTGCATTAAGTGGATGAGTTTAAAAATACCTGCCAGGTTTTAGACCTGATGTGATGCATTATGTGATCAGAGAATAGTTTTGTCTGTGCTTTTGAATTTTGGACTGGCTTCTTAATCAGTCAGCCTTAATGAAAAGAGAGGGACAGCTTTAAAATCTGTTTGCAGGGCTTTAGACGGAGTTGCCCAAGGCCTGGAGTGTCTGCTGTTAATTTGCTTGAGCAGGCTGCTTCACTGAACCACTGTCCAGCTTCAAGCCCATATTTAACCAAAGTCTTAGTGTCACTGGAGCAGAAATTAAGCCCCACAGAGTCAGCACATGAGGCCTCTGCATCTGAAAGGTGACTTTCCCTACCTGAGCCCTATTTAAATCTCTGTAAAGTCAGTGATAATGTTCTGTTGTCCAGTTGCCTGGACTTCTCAGTTAGGGAAAAACTTCTGTTTACTTATTGAGATACTGAACTAAATCCCCAGCTGAGGTTCAGGTTTTAGTTAGTCTTTTTCAAGTACAGTTTTCATTGGGCCCATTCTTTTCATAATAAAAGTTGCTTTAAGACATTCCAAAGAATAACAGTAAGAGATCAGTTATTTTTTTCCTTAAAATGTAATATTTGTTTATTTCTAAATTAATATTTTAAAAGCAGGTGGAGGAGGTACTATGGTAAGAGAACAGGCACCAGTGATTTCTAAAAGCTATTAAAAGCATGTGTTTGCATGTGTGCTTCTGTGTGATCTCATGCTTAAAGCTTACTGGCTGTGATCTTCATGAACAACATGGTACCATGTTCTTGAGATGTTTTAAAATACCCAGACCTCTGAGTAGTCCTAGCAAAGCTGCACTGGCATGGGTTGTATACTGTGCTAGATATCAGGATGTCCCATGCTTACAGGATACAGGCAGACAAACCCTGCATACCCTACTAGTATGAGAGCAGCCGTCTTCATGACCATACGGATGTAGAGTTCGTTACCTATGCCTGACATAATTTAAAGTGCAATTACTTGGGCCCTTTCTTGAACTCTGCTGTGGGTGATTCTCTTCTGTTATGAGAACTCAGATAATACACTGCTTTGTTTTGTTTTCTGTTTTTTTTCTGTGAAAAGATTTACTAGATAAACTCAGGTGGGTTAAATATCAGGTCTTGCACACCTTCATCATGTTCTTCTGAAATGCCCAAGTGCACAAGACTTACATGTCTGCAAGATGCTCATGTTACAGCTGCAAGATGCAAAGAATCAGCTGCTGATTGATGCTGGGCACATTCTCATCCGATCTGTGGCCAATAGGTGAAATGAAAATGGACAAGTTCTGCTGTGAAACCTACTTGTTCTCCAGCTCACACCTGAGAGGCACTGCTGTCTGACTGATGTTCTGACAAGTGCCAGTATGGACCACTGTAATGTGCTGGCCCTGTTTCAGTCACTGTCATATGTGATTCTTGGTGAAACATTGTGAAATCTCATTTGGTGTTTCGGAAGCTCCATGTGGCACATCCCAGGTAGTGTTCAGTGTATGCAAGATACTGAAGGTTTTTGCTGTGGCCCTGTGTATCTTAACTTGGAAAGAAAACTCATCTCCAGCAAAATCATCTGGGGAAAAATATTTAAAGACTAAACTGTTTTAGCAAGTGTTGCTGCTAACCATACCCTCTCCCAGCAGGTCTTTTCTGAGTGGAAGTTAAGGCCTAATATTTAAATTCTTTATACTGCTTAGGAATGCTTATACCAGGAAGGGCTGCAGAAGAGATCTGTCAGGGGTTTTCATTTGTGCTGGTCACACTTTTCATGCTGATTCTTGCTTGGTGTTAATAGTGGTCTTCTGGAGCTGTAGTTCTCTGCTTCTGCATGATGCCATCAAATGGTGTGAGAAGGCTGAATGGTGCTTTTTTCTTCTTTCTCCTCAAGGATATAATGTTGACTTGTTTTCAGCTTCCAGCTGCAAGCACTGATGCTAGCTCAGGTGAGCTCTGTCTTTTCTACCCAGATGTCAGTAAGGGAAACAACCACCCCCTGTCAGATCAGAGTTTCTAACACTTTCTTCTGGCACCTTTTGAAATGACTGAAATATAAGACTGACTTTTTTTGGTCCTTGTTCCTTGGCCAAAGTTAGTGCAGTTTGCATGGGACTTTTCAAAGACCAGAATTTAGGTAGGAGGGAATACAGGCTTAATACCATTGACCATGATCCTTCCCATAGATTGCCAGAGCCTTTGTTGATATGTCCTGTGCCCTAGACATCTGAGCAGACTCCCATTCTAGTGACTTAAATTCTGTCCAAAAAAGCTCTGGCTGTGTCAAGGAAATTTCCCCACCGTGTCATACCGTGGTATGTCTGCCAGGTCATGAACATGCATTATATTAGAAATACAAGTGTGTGCGGCAGAAGGTTGATCCCTTTTAAGAGATCATGAGACATTAAATTCCTATGAATTCTCAGGACTTTCTTCAGCTGTAACCCTGTATTTTGGAAGTGGGGGTGGTATTTAAAATGTTGCCCTGTGTTCCGAAAAGATGACCAGACCTGGGGCCAGCTTCTGCTGGTTGAATGTCATTGAGATTGGCTTTGCTTCAGCAGGAGGGATTCAACAAAGGTTACACTGAGCCTCTGTGCTGTACCTGGGAAATCCTGGGAAGCAATAGTAACTCCCTGTCCAAGCCCACTTCTGCCAATCCCTCTGTACTGATCAAAGCATCAATCCCACTTGTGCTGGTGCCGTAAGGAAGGGGTCTGCTTGGTGCACCACTCTTGGGAAACCTTTGGAGTGATGAATGGATATGGCCATGCATGGGAGCTGATTGCTTCTGCTCTGTGTTTGGCTGGGTGAGTATCTGTTACAAAGTGGGAGCCAGGTCCAGATTTCTTCTAAAGCTGAAGTACATTAAGATACAGATTTCTGGTGTGGTCTGATGTGGAGATTGTGGCCAGCAATGAAAGGGAGATTGGTAACTCTGGGTTGGGTCCCTCTCAAATATGGGTGAAACAGGGCAAATGCAAAAGCAACAATATTGCTGCTGGATTTTCACAGCATTATGTTAGATATGCAAAGACAACTTTTAAGCAGGACCTTTTATTTTGTGATTATTTTTTAGTTTTGAGATATGCAGTGTCTGTATATTCCAATGAAGTACTGAAAGCACTTGTCTTTGTATAGAAGATAACTGTTTAAAAATTGCAGCTGATCTTGTATTTAGCTAAAACATTTGTAGATAGGTAATTGTATAACCTTAAACAACTTTACACTGGCATGTGTTGTACAGTTTATACAAGACACACTTCTGCAGAATTTTTTAGTTAGTAAATTTCTAGTAACTTAAATGTATAGTTTTGTATCCTTTCATGTATGTTCATTTTCTCAGTATTACCACTCGCAGAATTATTTTTAGTTTCTTAAACTGTAATTGGTTATTTGTGTGTGATACACAGGGTTATTGACTGCAGCAATAAAGTGTTTCTATAAAAAAAAAACAGAACAAAACTAAACCCTTAGAGTATCCATTTTGTTTGAAAAAGCATTAGAGGCCCATGTGAGAGAAAAATTGAGCTCTCTAGTAGTAAGATGATGATCAGAGTGAGTTACATCACTGGAGTAAATATGGAACTTGGTGGCTTTTCAGTGTAGCAGCCCAATGCAGAGTAGCATCCCATGACAATTTGATGTTTAAATTATTCGTAATATTAAAGAGATAGTTAACCATCAGAATACATAGGCAACTCTTTCCATGCTGTGAGAAGATACGATTCTGCAGGTGCTTTGGTCTCAGATGCAGGAATCATGGAGAATTTTCTGGCTTGTGCCATGCAAGAGGTAGGGAGAGAGCATTCCTGTGGGCCTTAAAATCTGGAGCTTCTGGAATGGACACTTGAGTGTTGCTACGAATGCTTCACATCTGAAGTCAGCATTCTCACACACATCGGTTTCTATGCAGAGTTGCAGAGCAGATGATGCTCATTACTATGATTCTCCTTCAAGAAGAAAAATAATTTTGTGTAAGTGTGGAGTGGTGGATGGCTGCTTATCCTTCACTGCTGATGACGTGAGCATGATTGCAGTGCTGTGTGTGTTTTCATGCCAGGACCAAGCCTCAGAACAGGAAGTTTTCAGCAGTTTCTCTTCAATAGGTTTCTATCACCAGTAGGTCAAGGAAAACAGCTATCTGTGGTGCTGTGAGAAAGCTTGTAACAAAAGCATAAATGCCAAAGACCAAGTAAGATCTAGAAAGGTACATTTGTAACAGACACAAGCTCAAAGAAAATCTTTTAATTTGTATTTCTTTGGAGTGATTACTTTTAAATTTTCTTTTAGGTAAGAAAGCGGAGGAAATCTTAATACTGTAACCCTAGAGAGGTGCCTTCCATGCAAAACAAAAGGCTGTCCTGTATTCCCTTAGTGAAGCAAGTCAGGTTGTAGTAAATGAAGCTACTTACATAGTTTGCAAACCCATCAGCAAGACCTCTATACAAAAATACCATGCTGGAGAGATGGTAAGATAATTTCCAGGGCCTGCTGTTTGGCTGACAGTATCTGGGATGAAAAGCTGATAAACGGTTTAAGGAACAAAGCTTGTAGAGCCATCTGGCTGCTGGTTAAAAAGTGCTCCTTGTCTTGGGTTCAGGCACCTCGAGTTAATTATAAAATAACTTCCCTCTTATAAACCTCATTTTTATCTGAAAAAATGTATTCCTGTCACTGTGTGAAGTGTGTCCATTTCCAAGGCAGAGCAGAAAGTGGTTCAGGGGCACATGGCACAGCTGTGACTCCAGGAACAGGATTTTTCAGCTGATCCCCAGGAATGGAGCTGTCTGGTGCGTAGTTACTGGTATCTAGCTGGCAGGACCAGCATGACTTGCCTCTCAGAGCAGGACAGAGGGAGGTGGTCGAAAGGCTGAAGGGCAGCAGCAGGAGTTGGCAATACCCACCTGAGAGCCCTTGGGAGGCTACAGAGGTATCAAATGGTGTAACTCCAGCTGCCGACTCTGAAAACCAAGACCCAAGAGTCTCAAGAGCCAGGCTTGTGCCTGCACTGCTTGTCAGCCCATCCTGCAAGGGCTCCCCCTCTTCCCACAGCCATCCTGTGGACCACTCTCCTGTCACCCACCACCTCCATTTCCGATTTCCCTGTCCCCAGCCTGTTCACCCGTATCATGGTGTGTTTTCCCCCTTCCATTTGTTCTACTTATGCAGCCCAAACTGCCTTCCTCTTCCCATGCCACCTTCTTTCACCACTGTTATTATTTCTGTCACTCAGCTTGCCTCTGGGCAAGTCTGGAGAGAGGGTTGTGTTAGGAGGAACCAAATTACAATCAGCACGTGATTCATGGAAAAACCCAAAAGTGTCACTGTGCAAATACAGCTCAATGTCCACCTGCAGTCCCAGTTTCTCCTGTAAATCCCCTAGGCTCCAGACGCCGATGTGTAGGATACTACATTTTGGGATTGTATTGTGTTACCACAATACTGACAGTCAGAGGAGGATGCTTTTTCACGGGCTTGGGATGGATGGATGGATGGATGGATGGATGGATGGATGGATGGATGGATGGATGGATGATGTCAGAAAAGCAGGCAAGAATATCTCAGCATAGAACAAGAACTGAAATTAATACATCTTGGCTAAATGGAGAGAGGGGAATATAATTCAAAAAAGAAGCAGGGGGAGGTCTTTTAAAAAATCAAAACATCTTGGGTAAAGGAAACACGGAGCCAGTTCAGTATGTTACACAGGGTAGAATAATTGGAAATGTAGTACTGCTCAGATAGGGTCAAGTTATGGCAAACTTTAAGAATACTCTTTTAAAGTGTATTTGAGGGAAAAAAGATTGGTGGCAGAGGAACTGAAAGCTGAAAACAGAGGAGACCTTGCTTGAGAGTGTTAAAGAGATGAATGATGTTGTCTCAAAGGCTTTAACATCAGAGGAGGCTTGAAATAACTGAATAAAACACCAGAAGGCTGCACAGAGCAGAGGAGGGAGATCACTCAGGGTGTTCTTGTTAAATTCTGAAGCTTCAAGGAATCAGTCTTGCAATTCCTAATATTTTAAAACTTCACTAAAATTAACCTCCCAGTCATTTTTGCTGAGAGCTCCTTGCTGTGCTGGTTTGCTCTGATACTCTCTGTCTCAAAGGCCACCTGCAAACAAGGCAGGCCATGCAAGCTTAGGAGAATTTATCCCTGTTAGAGCTGTAGGGTCTGGTGCTGGGGACAGCAGGTTCCTTTGTCAAGCAAAACAGTTATCCTTGTGCTTAGGAAAGAATAGGAAGTGTCTCGGGCTGCTGATGATCCCAACTGAGAAGGCGCAGCTGTCTTAGTGTATGTAGTATTTCGTATCTGCTTTACCCCTGAGCAACCCAAATTAACTCATAAACTACCATTGTTCCCTTCCTGTGGATAAACGGAGGTCTCTAGAGTCTGGCTTGCTACTTGTCTTGGTCTCATGTTTAACTTCTTGCTTTTGAAAGTGCTGTATTAAAGGAGAACTGATTCTGATCATGGGATTAGCTAAACCAGTGTTTCTCATGCCAGCAAGATGATGGTTTATTTTGTCCCAAAGCTGTGCTTTCAGGACCATGCTACATTCACAGCCACACCTAAGTAGTTGATGTACACCAGAGAAATCAGATGAAAATTAAATCAAACTATTCCACTGAGCAGCTTGTTTTCAGCCCTGGATCAAACTAAGCTGTGGCAGAAGTTCCAAGTAATGTTTCAGGGATGAATTTGGACCTGCCTGGCTTCAGATTAGAGTTGTTACTGCATAATACTCTGTCAGGACTCTACCTTTGCTGCTGGGACTTACAACTTTTGCACCAGTCTTCAGTCTCTCATTCTATTCTAGTTTTGCAGTTCTCAAACTTGTGCAGCACTAAATGATACCAAAAGAGTAGCCACTAACGCAGCTGTATTCCTTGTGCTTGTCTTGTCCATGGCTTACTTGTCCCATGCCTCTGCTCTCCCCTCCTCTTTAGGAGTGTTACCTGTGCAGCCTCCTAGCACTGATTTGGGGAGGGGAAGCCTGAAGGCAGGCTGCCTTCTCTCTGTCTCCCTCCTCTTCCCTTTTTGCAAAATGCCAGAGTAGCACAGCTATATCCATGAAGGCAGTGAGAGGATCTGCAGATTTAGGGGGAAGTGCTGAAGTGAGGTGGTCCTAGATCCCATGGTTCTCAGGGCTGAGGAAGGTGTCCTAACTTCACACTAAATGGGATGGAAGATCCAAGGAACACCACCTCAAAAAGGAGGAAGTTCATGGGCAGAGACTCAGCCCCTTGGCAGTCTGGATGATCTCTTGCACAACAGGTATAAAGACACCGTAATAAGTGTTGATATAGCAACCCCCTTGAGGGTTGTGAGGGATTCAGCCGGTGTCAGAATTGCCACTGCCTGGATGGCAGAGCAAGGACACTGCACTGAGCTTTGCAATCTAGAGTTAATTTCTGGACCCTCTGAGCTGGCACAGAGGGAGGTTTATGAACAAGGAGCTTTTTCTTCCCATTGTGGTGGAGCAATACACATACGTTCTCAGCTATTAAACCCATGTCCCTTAGATTATTTATGTAGCCTGGAAATTTCTGTAGGCTCCACTGATCCCCTCCATCATTTGTTAATTACTATGTCATATCATTCCTCCCCAGTCCCAGTCCTTATTAGCATATTTCAGGAGAGCCATCTGCCCACCCAAATTGCCTGTAGCCTCAGGAGAGCTATAAAATATGTGACATCTTTACAAAGCAACCTTGTTTTTCACTGGCATTGCAAAGGAGATAAAGGGGGACAGCAGCTGACTTCTGCTGCAAATTTCCATGTAGTAAAACTGAGTGATGCTTAGGCAAATGGGAACTGTGAATAACAAGCAGGAAAATCCATGGCAGAGTAGATGTGCCCCCCCTGCAGGAGCCTGTCCTAGGGTCCACCCCCCCCCGCTAACACACAGCCAGCTCAGGTAAAGCAGCTGTTTGTGTTTGAAGAGCCCAGTTTCCCAGCTCTCTGCTTTTGAG